ACATTGGGAGAAATCCTATGTATATATGACCGTTTTTCATGAGTTAAGTTGGACAAATTAATTTCTTCCATCAGAGCCTTGATTTGAGGTTTTAACACAAAAGTTTGAAACAAATAACATGTGAATGTTGTCTTTATCATATCATTTTGTAGGAAATAAACCAGGGGAAGAAGCAAGAAAAAGTGGGGCTATTAGACAACAGAAAAACCTTCAAGGATCATATGGTCGTTTCTGACTCTCAAGACTCGGAACACCATAAACAACCTCCACTTGTTAGCTCACTAAAGGCTTCAGCTGAGCAAAACGTTGCCAGTTTTCAGTTTCCAGGACATAACAGGGGTCGGGCAGCTCCAACTTCATTGTCTAGTCTCATTGGAGTACKTCCATTCCTTCATGACTTKTCTGSGWTTCCAGAACTCGACAACCTATTTGCACCCCAAGGCCCCATTTTGGATGCACAACAGCAAGCAGCTAAATTGTTCAGAGCTACAGAGACATGGTTTCTAGTTGGGGGTACAACATGTGGGATTCAAGCATCAGTTATGGCTACTTGTTCACCAGGTGATACGCTAATTCTTCCACGGAATGCTCACATATCAGCCTTTTCTTCTATGGTTTTGTCTGGCACAATACCCAAGTACATCACTCCAGAATATGATTTTGATTGGGATATTCCTTGCAGCATCACTCCTTCACAGGCAAGTGAGGTTTTTTTTATTATTTGATGCATCTGCTTGCTATGTTTGTGTCCTTTTCTATTCCTGAAGATATTGACTACAACAAATCAGTTTTGTTGGATTCCAAATATGTCCAAGTGTCCTAATTGATTGTTTCATAGGTTTTAAGCTTATAGGGTCAAACAATTATGCCTCCTCTGTGTATAAAGTACAAAGGTGTTGCAATAAGTTGATAGGACGCCTAACAAGTTCTTTAGGACATTGTTGAAATTATATGACATTATTTGAAAATGTCTTGTAATAACAAGTAAGATGTGTTCATAGAACCAAAGGGCCTTTGGCCTAGCTGTATGCGAGTCTTTGGCCTCCTAGGAGGTGAGGGGTTCAAACCTCACCAACGGTGAGGAGGGTGTGTTGAGTTTATTTGTTCTATTTGCCGTATTTAAATATTATGTACTTCCAAAAAAAAGATGTCTTCATAGAAGTGTCATATAAAAAGGAAATAGTACAAAAGTGTCCTAAAAACTTGTTAGGACACCCAAAAACATCAGCTTATTGCAACATTATTACACCGGACACACGATTGTTTGGTCCTCTAAACTTAATTCCTACAAAGCAATCTTGGTGGGATACTGTTGGAGATGCTCTTAGTTTGCTGTATGAATGGCAGGTAGAGAAGGCAATCAGAGAATTGGATACGGAAGGTCAAAAAGCATCAGCAATTTTTGTCACCTCACCTACTTATCATGGTATTTGCAGCAATCTGGAAGAGATTTCGCGGTTGTGTCATTCTCACAACATTCCTATGATCGTTGAYGAGGCTCATGGCGCCACTTAGGCTTTCACGAAGATTTGCCTCTTTCTGCTCTTTGTCAAGGGGCTGATCTTTCCATACAGTCGACCCAYAAGGTATTATGCTCACTCACGCAATCATCCATGTTACATATGGCAGGAAAGATTGTGGATAGAGAAAGAATATGTCGATGCCTTCAAACCCTTCAAAGCACCAGTCCTAGTTATCTGCTTTTAGCTTCCTTAGACGCTGCAAGGGCTCAATTAAGCCAACACCCAGAAACCGTTTTCAATGAAGCTGTTGTAATAGCCTTGGAAGCAAAAGCCCTTATAGAAAATATTCCAGGAATTACAGTCATGAATTCTAATACTTTTTCTGATGTTCTTGGTATTGATCATTTACGAATTACAGTAGGGGTATGGAAGCTTGGTATATCTGGTTTCGAAGCTGATGATATCTTATACGAGGATTATGGAGTCGTTTCAGAACTCACTGGGACCCGTTCTATAACATTTGCATTAAATCTAGGAACCAGTAGAGACGATGTTCTGAGGCTTGTATCAGGGTTAAACCATCTATCACAAACACACAACTCAATTGGTTTAAAGGAGGAAAAACCAAATGGTATACAGCCATTTGTCGAAACCAGTGTTAGCATGAGATTGAGCCCTCGAGATGCCTTTTTTGCGAGTAAAGAGAAAGTGAGTTTTAAAGAGAGTATTGGGAGAATTTGTGGGGAGTTGATATGTCCATACCCACCAGGAATCCCATTGCTTATACCTGGGGAAGTTATTACAGAGGAAGCAGCAAGTTATTTGGTTGAGGTGAAGAAGAAAGGTGGTTTTGTTAGTGGAGCTTCTGATACCAGTCTCTTCTCAATTGTTGTTTGCAGTTAAACATTCATCAATGTACGGTAGGGGTGTGAAAGATCGGATTAAGCCGATAATACGCTGCAGAACGTCTCACTAAACGGGTAATGCGGATTTTCGTTTTGATGATTACAAACAAATGAAATGTTTAATTAATTAGCACTTCTACTTGATTTATATATTTATGATATATTGAGAGTCCGTGAAATACCATGGTTCGATAATCCATTGAGAGTCCGTGAAATACTATGGTTCGATACTAAATGCTCTTAGTTGGACATAATCATGCACACGTCCACTTCGTAAATGTAGACGTCCACTTCATTGACATCCTGGTACTCTTAACGGTCGAAAAGCAACTTTTTCTGAAAAGTGGCAAAACGAATGTCGAATTGCTCCATACAGACGCCCAATTATACTCGAAATTTCAAAATTGTTGTTTAAAGATAATTCTCCGGCTTTCAAAATAACTATTTGGGAACTAAAATTCAGATCTCTCTCAAATCTTCTTCTAAAATATCTCGTGTTCTTAAAGTTTATGATTTGATTTATTACACCACCACTAGATCATCGTTACAAGTAGGGATGGCCAAATAGGGCTGGGACCGACGAGGAAGACCGGGATCAAGACCAGCCCGACAGTCCTTAACCAGTTACAATTTTTAGGAATTTTAGCGGCCTAGGACATGGACCGTGGCCGGTTATACAAATACCGGGTTTTTGACCAGGCAGGACCGGTTACGATAATAGTGTTTGGAACCAGGCAGGGGCGGATTCATATAGACTTCATTGGGGTCCTAGGCCCCCAACAAAATGAAGTGTAGAAAGCCCAATTTTTTTTGTTTGTAGTTTTTAACTTAATTTGGGTTGGCCCCCAACAAGATTACTATGAAGGCCCCACCCATTCCATTTCCCTCCTTCACAAATCACAATCACAGTCACGCTTCACGGTCACGAACTCACGATTGACGAACGACTTCACCCACTGGCCACTGCTACGAGTCTACTGTGTTGACGTCCGACGTACATCGCTGCTTACCCAGTTGCCTGCTTCTTCCCTGCATGCATAGGCGGTGCATCGTGCGGCTGGCTGCTAAGCTGCTTGCAGCTTGCCTGCTTCTTCTTCTTCTTCTGCCGTCGGCTGGGCCACTTAGCGCTGGCTCCTGGCTGCTTCTTCCCTGCGAGGCCTCTAATTTGATTTGGGTAAAATTTTTGGTTGCTTCTTCCCTACTGCTTGCTTCCTGTCTCTAATTTGATTTGGGTAAAAATTTTGATTTCCAAATTCCAATATTTAATTCTGAATGACTTTGATTTAATTTTGTTGTTTGCTTCACAATTGATGATTTGGTAAATGCTTTATGTTAGGTTAATTTTGCAATTTTATAGACAAATGAAAATGTTAGGTTAATTTTACAATTTTGTAGGAAAATGGAAATGTTAGGTTAATTTTGCAAATGGAAATGTTAGGTTAATTTTGTAGGAAAATGGAAATGTTAGGTTAATTTTGCAATTTTGTGTTGAAAAGCAGTATGCAAGACAATTAAAGATTCAAGTATTATTTGTGAATTATATGATCAGGCAGAAGGAATAATTCCTAGGTGGTAGGTCTCCTTGGGTGCTCATCTTAAGAAGAGTATTAAAAGATTAAAACATAAGCCTTAAAAGTCACTCTCCACCACATCATTACATTTCAGTAAACATGATACTCAGTACCACACATATAAAGGTAAATATACAAGTCATATTCACTCAACAAATATAAATTGTAGGGTCAGTGCCTAGCTTACTTCAACCGCGTCAGTTATCTTTATTCGGTTAACCGAACAATTTAAGCTGAAAATGAGAACCCGAAACCTTTTTTGGTTCGGACGAATTATTCGGTTTCAAAATTTTTTAGACCCTCCTAAGTGTGCCCCCAACCATAATAGTTTCTAGATCCGCCACTGCATGGGACTAAGCACGCCACCAACTACCGACACCGATGACACTTACTCACAATATGACGATGATGAGAAACTCGACATTGATGACCTTGATAACCAAGAGGCTATTAGAAGAATTCAAGAGATCGGAACTCTCAAATCAATCCGACATGAGATACTGATAAAGTTTGATGAATAAATGTATTTTTGAATAATTTTATAATAAATTTTTGTAAAACAATGTAACTTTAATTATAATAAAACATATTTTTTAAATGTATTTGAGTGGACCGTACTACAAATTTAATAACATATTAAAAATATACGTCATTTAAAATTTTTTAAAAAATATAATTTTTATGGATGGGACCGGTTGAATCCGGGACCGGTACCCATAACGCTTAACCTTGGCTGGTCATCACATTCTCAACCGGAACCGGTTACCACCCGGATTGAGTCCGGCTCGGGACCGGTTTTTGACCATCAGTATAGCTAATACCTAAAAAATGTCTATTGGTTTTAATACCTTTAGGCCTCACCCATACTCTTGATAAAAAAACAAGTTAATGGTGATCTTGAAAATTTTAAGGTCCAATTTTGTAAGCAAGTGGTACAACATGTTACACGTTGAATTATCCTTTCACAATTTCCCATACCTTGAATTATCCCTTCAATTTCCTTTCCCACGTTACACTCGATCCTTCTCCTCTCCACATTCCCCACCAAAGAGGTGAACTTTAAGCTATAATCAAGCGTCGTTGGAGCAACGGTTTTTTCTGAACAGTTGATTGCCTGAAATTATACGAAGCTGTATATGTGTTTGTTGAATTGCCTGAATGGTTTTCATTTGTTTCCCTGAAGTAGTGACCACTTTCCGTCCGACTTGCATGTGTTAAGCATGCCGGCAAAGGTCGAGAAACTCAACCACACTGTTCGAAGTGATACTATAATAAGGAATCAGTTGAATGGATTTTTCTTCTTGTGAAAGCTATGACTGACCCACAGATACTTCATCAAAATCTAAGGTACCCATCCTCACGGTCTTATTCTACTCCTGCTTTTGTAGGTTTAAACCAAGATTTCAGCTCCATTCTCTTCCTCTGTTCTTGTCAAACTAATCTTTTTCTTAACTCGGTCATTCATCACATCCTCAATGGCTCAAAGTGATGGCCTAATCCGAGTCCATATTTGGAGCCGATGAGTTTTACTCTTGGTTGTTTTCAGAAACTTCATCCTCTTGAGCTTCAAATTCGTATAACTTATCATGATCAGTCTTCTCACCACTCAAGTCATCTCCTTCTGGGCCTTATCAGAGCCACCATTAGCTTCCTTCCCAGAAGCAAGGGAAAGTGAAGCTGCCCTACCTTTCTCTGCAGATGAGCCATTTACAGGCAGTTGTGCACACTCTACCTGCTGTTCTAGAAAGTCCTTCCACCTATCTGATCGTTCCTTCTCTTCCTCCTAAAACCATGAAAATGTGATGGGTTTTACATTATAAAGTAATGAAGTTGGAACCAATAAACAAACTTGAAGAGAATGCTAAAACCAAACCCTTGATATTATTTGTACTTTGCTATGTAAAGAATCACTAGATACTATCTGCTCTTGATGCATTACTGTCAATATATATATATAAGAAAGTTAAAAGAGCATTTGATACTGTTCATATGTTAAACTGTAAATTACATGTCAAAAACTTAAAACATCTAAACAATTCTAGGAAGCTCCTTCAAGTTATATGATAGATATGGAGTTAACATAGTGGGAGAAGATTTCACATGATCATCTTGGGATAGAAGTAATGTGAATCACAGGTTGTTTATAGAGAATTGTAAGACTGATATGTATGAAGAGGTATTCGGGATGTAAACGAATTTAGAGATCAAATTTGAGTCATCAGAGTTAAAGATAAGACACTGAACAAAGCCACCATCATCAGTATTTGCTGAGAGAACTTGACCTGCACTTAAAACTAACAAGTAGTTTTGTAAATCAAAATTTCAACTTCAAGTAAATCAAAATTTCGCCACATTCTTCTTAATTCCAAAAAGGATATTGTACTGTAATCCATTTCCAACAAAAAATCATATAAGTAAATTCTTCTTTGCCTTCTAAAATAACATCTTCAGAAAGTAACATTATATTCTTACCATTTGATTCACGAATGGGAGGGGTGTATTCATAAGTAAATTTAACATTGCCTCTTCAAACTCTTACCGCATCAGCAAAAGAATTATACATAGATGCGATGCCCATGTAATGATACCATAGGTGGTTCATTTGAACATTTCATCTCTTCAGATTGTCAAAAACTCATGCTTTTGATGATGGTACTTGTAGATCCAACTCCTGCCAAATCTCAATCTTAGAAAGAAACCTCAGCTTATTGAATTGGTGGAGGATGACAAGGTTATTCTTAAACTTTTTCTTTGTCGTTGTACAAGGATATTCAACTTGTAGTTTCTACATACACCCTCCATACCCTTGTATGTGAATGTAATTGTACATTGTTTTATAGGATGTTGAGGAGCTCATGGGTCATGGCATCATCACCGTAAACGACTTATTAAAATGGATGGATTTTCATCTTAAGAAGCACACTACACAAAAACTATAACAAATTTCTCTTCAGATTTGAAACTAAAGACAGACTTCTAATTGAGACTTTGACATATTTGTATAGTTTAAGGTCTCATTTTGCCTTATCTTCTATTCTATGATAATTCATGGGTTCTGAAAACTGTAATTTTAGCTTTGGATTTCTCTTTTAAGATGGTTTGGAACATAATTTACCCAAGTTTGTTACATGATGCAATCTTATATGCATTATTGAATTGTATTAACCCTTTTGTGTTCATCGTTATTCCTTGTTTTCAACGTACAAATCTAATAATTGTACTAGCTATTACAACAAGATATCTCAAAGGCAATTGCGACTACAAATGCAGAGATCTAACACTAGCTTGCTTATTCTGCTACTCAGAATATGCTTAGCTTTTCTTACCAAATACACAATCTGACATTACCTTACTATGCTTCATATACTACTGGTACTCTATGCTTATTTTTGTTTTTACTCGTAAAAAACCCATCTTTTTCGTAGTCCGTGGTAGACATTGTGTTCAAATCTTTAATTTCTGTGTGTGTGTTTTGAATTTCTTTTTTCTGAATGCTGATGTGGCGTTGCTTAACTTGCTTACAGGTTCTTTCTGCAAGTTTAGGGAGAAATGGTAAAGAATCATAAATGTGTTTTTTGATGTAATGTTTTCTTGATGCATCAAGAGATTCTTTCTTTGTTAAATTTTTTGAGGCCTGATTAGAAAGAAGAATTTATGTATGTTTTGAAATAATAATATGGCATTTGTGGACGGACTAAATTCTTTTTTTTTTTTTTGAATTAATTGAAGGTTATGGTTGTGGTTCTGGAGGGAGTATGTTAAAACACCAACATTTATCTACAAATACATCACCGTGAATGCACCTATTCCTCTAATCTCCTTATCCCCATCGGAAAGGCCCTTGAAACTGCTGCCTTTTCAGGAACCCATCTCAGAAACACTACTTGTAAGTTATTTCTAATTACTTTCTTGTTATTCTCTTCAAACGAAATAATAAAATTAAAATTCAGCTTTTTGATGGTATAACAATTTGATGAATTCATGTTTTGAGTAGATGGATGGGAGGTGTTTTCTATCCAACAACTCCGATCCAGATGGGAAGAAGTGGTGGTGCTCTAGGGACGCGGTAGCAGATCAAAAGTACTGCGAGCACCATATGGACAGAGGTTGACATCGTTCAAGAATGCCTGTGTCTACCGCTGTTGCCATCAGCTGCAGTGGTGACCACTATGTCCACCATTGTCAGCCACTTGCACCAACTTAGCAGCAGCAACAGAATGCAGCCTGCAGCATATTCCCATGATGACAGGTATAAAAAACAGTGAATCTCTTTTAATGTTGAGTTTTGCTAAAGGAAATGTAGATGTTGCCAGTGGGTTCTTTTTCTCTTTTCTCTGATATTTGGCGGTACAAGCCTTGATTTATGATTCTTGTCCACAAGTTGCTTAAACAAGGAAAGGAGAAAATGGAAGATGCAATCGGGCTTCTTTGCTTGCTGAACCCATTGCAGAAATATGAGGATGGGGTCAAAAATCCCCAAATTTGCTTCGCCTGTTCATAGATGATTGGCCAAAATCCGACAGCACACAACTCTCTATATCTCAATTTCATTTCCCGCTCAGACTTCATGTCTTCATCTTCATCCCGCATCAACGAAAGACTCAACTTTTCACCTCTAAGAATGGGGATAGGAGTGGGTGATAATAGCGAAAGGTCACAATGGATCCCGGTTTGTTGGGAAAGTTCAATGGGTGGGCCGTTAGGCAAAAGTGTTAAACAACAGCCCCTAGACTCTAAGGGTTGTTTACCAAACGCTTACCCGCAGGGCAAGGACTGAGAATTTTACCCGGTAAGTGAGGGTGACGACTCTTACCAAGTAAGTGCTTATCTGGTAAATTGTTGCATATGATGCCGTTTTGATGGACTAGAATCTTAACCGGTAAGGTAAGTGACAATGTTTAGTATTACTAGTAAGAGTTTACCGGGTAAGCATTTGGGTAGACGGCCCTACAGTCCGATGACAGATGGTTGGGAAAGTATCCAATAGATGTCCATGTCTCCAACTGAGGTGCTGCAAAAGAACAGGATCGGCAACACTTATCACTTCCCCCTTGCCTTTAATGTAAACCTAAACCCAATATTTTTTAATAAAATCTTGTACCTCTAATCTGTTTGCTTATGTTGTATGCTTTGAAGAACACTTTTTGACTGAATTGAAATGCAAATGACTATTTTTTTTGGGGGGGGGGGGTGGAGAAGCAAAGTGTTCAAATTTATGGATGGTTAGTGGTTGTGGGATTTATCAAGATCTGCCTTTTCGAATCTAATTTATACTTTATACCAAGAGGGATTGTTTAAACGAGTTTTTGATATTGCTGAAAAGATGCCTCAAGAGAAGAGCGTGAGCGATGCTTTTGCTTATGGGCAAATGATAGATTCTCTTTGTCGATATGGAAGGCATCATGGGGCCTCCAGGATTGTTTATATGATGATGAAGCGAAGGTGTTCCCCGAGCTTAGTTTCATACAATTCTATTGTGCATGGACATGCCAAAAATGGTGGCTATTTGAGGGCGTATCAGTTCTTGAAACAAGGGTTTGAAATTGGCTACTCCCCTTCTGAAACTACTTACAAGGTTCTGATAGAATGCCTTTCTTTAGAAGAAAATGATCTTGGCAAAGCAAAGAAACTGTTTGACATCATGTTGAACAAGGAAGGGGTAGACAAGGCTAGAATTTACAATATTTATTTAGGAGCTCTATGTTGAATGAATAAGGAGTCTTCAACCGAGATTCTGAATATGCTTGTCATCATGCTTAGATAAAATGTCATCCTGACGTAGTTACTCTGAACACAGTTATTAATGGCTTTTGTAAGATGGGCAAAGTGGAAGAGGGGATCCAGGTACTAGATGATATGGTGATGGGAAAGTTTAAAATCTGCACTCCTGATAGTGTGACCTTTACTACGATTATAAGTGGATTATTGAATGTTGGAAGGACAAGAGAACTCTTGATGTGCTACATAAAATTATGCCTGAAAAGGGTTTTCACCCTGGTACCATAACTTATAATGTGGTTCTTCGTGGTTTGTTTAAGCCCCATCTTGCAAATTAAGCGATGGGTGTGTTTTAACTCCATGGCTGGTGGTGGTGTTGTTGCTGAAAGTACCACTTGCTATAATGATTGATGGATTATGTAAATGTAATCAGATAGAAGAAGCAAAGGTGTCCTGGGATGATATTTTTTGGCCATCAGGGGTTCATGACCATTTTGTATATTCAGCCATCATCAAAGGACTTTGTTGTTTGCCGAAGTTTGATGAGGCTTGTGATTTTCTATATGAATTGGTAGATTGTGGGATTAGACCAAACACTGTAAATTACAACATTTTGATCGAAGGTGCTTGCAAATTGGATCTAAAGAAAGAAGCCTACCAGATTGTAGGAGAAACGAGGAAGAATGGAGTAGCCCCTGATGCAGTTACATGGAGGGTCATTGACAAATTACACAAGGAAACAAAACAGTGGGGTCCTGAAGACAAAATCAACATGTAAAACAGGTTTGTTTTGTTTAATTGTTATTTTTAGTTTTCTGTGAATCATCTTTGTTCTGCTAATCCACAATCAGTGACAATGAAGAAAGATAAATGGACTATTCAAAGGAAGAAAAGAAAAACAAGAAGAAGTGGACTTTACGAATGGGAGGGATGAAAACCAGAAAATAACCATAGACAAGGGACCAAAAATGTAATTCACTCTTATTAGAATTATTGACTTTGGGTTGGATATTTTCAAAATGTCTAACTGGTCAGGTATTTGAGAACTTTCAACCGATATTTCTCTTTTACAGCTAATGGATAAGGCAAGAGAACAAATTGGCAAACTGAAATCCATAGATTTTGTTCTTGGAGCCTGAAGAGTGAAGATCCTCTACATTTTTATGCTACATCAACAATGGCATTTGCTTTTCTAAATTTGGTAGGTAATTCATACTCGTTTTATTGATCACTTCTTGCTATGTTTAAAGTATTTCTGAGTTTTGCTGGTTGCAGAGCCTCAACCTCAGGTGTAGTATGACATCAAGAGCTTGTATTTCTAAGGTAAACTATCTTTTTGTATTGATTTTAGTTTAAATCTTCTGTTTCGATGAAGAGATTGATGTTGGAAGAAGAAATTATGAATTAGAGTTAGAATTGTTTTTTCTATTGATTCATATGGATTGAAGTCCTTGAATGGGGTATTCAATTCCAAATATGAATGGAAAACGACATCTTCATTGGTTCTACTTCTTATTTTTATGAAGAGAACGGATTTTTTCATTGAAGGATCAGAAGAAAAAAAAGGTGTGGATTTCCTGTAGGAATGATTTGGAAGAACCAAAACCAAAAATAGCGGCACTTGCTAGCAACAACATAATGGAGGCAGATCCAGAAAAGTTTCAAAAACCTTTTTATGCGGGCTTTGGTAAGTTGCCTTTACCTTCCCTATAAAATTGCCGGCTTGCCCATTAATGGGACTTGTGTAAAATCATAAACAGTTATGATAGCTTACGATAAAAATAGGGTTGTCTTGTAAGTTGTGAGCTTCGTTGAGGTCATTACATGAATTATATGATATTTTATTTTTATTCAATTCTTGAACATCACATGCAAATAGCCAAATCCATGAAACAAATCAAGACTTCTCTTATAGAGACAAAGGAATCATGTGTTACTTGCACCAACATTGGGAGAAACCCTATGTATATATGACCCTTTTTCATGAGTTAAGTTGGACAAATTCATTTCTTCCATCAGAGCCTTGATTTGAGGTTTTATCACAAAAGTTTGAAATGACTAACATGTGAATGTTGTCTTCATCATATCATTTTTAGGAAATAAACCAGGGGAAGAAGCAAGAAAAAGGAGGGATCTTAGACAACAGAAAAACCTTCAAGGATCATATGGTCGTTTCTGACTCTCGAGACTCGGAACACCATAAACACCCTCCCCTTGTTACCGCACTAAAGGCTTCAGCTGAGCAAAACATTGTCAGTTTTCAGTTTCCAGGACATAACAGGGGTCGGGCAGCTCCAACTTCATTGTCTAGTCTCATTGGAGTACKTCCATTCCTTCATGACTTKTCTGSGWTTCCAGAACTCGACAACCTATTTGCACCCCAAGGCCCCATTTTGGATGCACAACAGCAAGCAGCTAAATTGTTCRGAGCTACAGAGACATGGTTTCTAGTTGGGGGTACAACATGTGGGATTCAAGCATCAGTTATGGCTACTTGTTCACCAGGTGATACGCTAATTCTTCCACGGAATGCTCACATATCAGCCTTTTCTTCTATGGTTTTGTCTGGCACAATACCCAAGTACATCACTCCAGAATATGATTTTGACTGGGATATTGCTTGCAGCATCACTCCTTCACAGGCAAGTGAGGTTTTTTATTTTTTGATGCATCTGCTTGCTATGTTTGTGTCCTTTTCTATTCCTGAAGATATTGACTACAACAAATCAGTTTTGTTGGATTCCAAATATGTCCAAGTGTCCTAATTGATTGTTTCATAGGTTTTAAGCTTATAGGGTCAAACAATTATGCCTCCTCTGTGTATAAAGTACAAAGGTGTTGCAATAAGTTGATAGGACGCCTAACAAGTTCTTTAGGACATTGTTGAAATTATATGACATTATTTGAAAATGTCTTGTAATAACAAGTAAGATGTGTTCATAGAACCAAAGGGCCTTTGGCCTAGCTGTATGCGAGTCTTTGGCCTCCTAGGAGGTGAGGGGTTCAAACCTCACCAACGGTGAGGAGGGTGTGTTGAGTTTATTTGTTCTATTTGCCGTATTTAAATATTATGTACTTCCAAAAAAAAGATGTCTTCATAGAAGTGTCATATAAAAAGGAAATAGTACAAAAGTGTCCTAAAAATTTGTTAGGACACCCAAAAACATCAGCTTATTGCAACATTATTACACTGGACACACGATTGTTTGGTCCTCTAAACTTAATTCCTACAAAGCAATCTTGGTGGGATACTGTTGGAGATGCTCTTAGTTTGCTGTATGAATGGCAGGTAGAGAAGGCAATCAGAGAATTGGATAGCGAAGGTCGAAAAGCATCAGCAGTTTTTGTCACCTCACCTACTTATCATGGTATCTGCAGCAATCTGGAAGAGATTTCCCGGTTGTGTCATTCCCACAACATTCCTATGATCGTTGACGAGGCTCATGGGGCCCACTTCAGCTTTCACGAAGATTTGCCTCTTTCTGCTCTTTGTCAAGGGGCTGATCTTTCCATACAGTCGACCCATAAGGTATTATGCTCACTCACGCAATCATCCATGTTACATATGGCAGGAAAGWTTGTGGATAGAGAAAGAATATGTCGATGCCTTCAAACCCTTCAAAGCACCAGTCCTAGTTATCTGCTTTTAGCTTCCTTAGACGCTGCAAGGGCTCAATTAAGCCAACATCCAGAAACCGTTTTCAATGAAGCTGTTGGAATAGCCTTGGAAGCAAAATCCCTTATAGAAAATATTCCTGGAGTTACAGTCCTGAATTCTAGTACATTTTCTGATGTTCTTGGTATTGATCATTTACGAATTACAGTAGGGGTGTGGAAGCTTGGTATATCTGGTTCAGAAGCTGATGATATCTTATACAAGGATTATGGAGTCGCTTCAGAACTCATTGGGACCCGTTCTATAACACTTGCATTAAATCTAGGAACCAGTAGAGACGATGTTCTGAGGCTTGTATCAGGGTTAAACCATCTATCACAAACACCCAACTCAATTGGTTTGAAGGAGGAAAAACCAAATGGTGTACAGCCATATATCCAAACCAGTGGTAGCATGAGATTGAGCCCTCGAGATGCCTTTTTTGCGAGTAAAAAGAAAGTGAGTTTTAAAGAGAGTATTGGGAGAATTTGTGGGGAGTTGATATGTCCATACCCACCAGGAATCCCATTACTTATACATGGGGAAGTGATTACAGAGGAAGCAACAAGTTATTTGGTTGAGGTGAAGAAGAAAGGTGGTTTTGTTAGTCTAGCTTCTGATACCAGTCTCTTCTCAATTGTTGTTTGCAGTTAAACATTCATAAATTTACGACGGATAATATGCTGCAGAATGTCTCCCTAACGGGTAATGAGGATTTCCGTTTTGATGATTGCAAACAAACGAAATGTTTAATTAATTGATTTATATATTTATGATATACTGAGAATCAAGTGAAATACCATGGTTCGATAATCCATGAAAGCGTCCAAGTGGTGATCAATGATTTGTTTTTACCACATTGAACCTCTAAAATAGATTTTAGTCTAAGTAGAGGTTGAGTACCTATGGCTATCATTGCCGCTTTATTCAAGACGTTTCAAACCCATCTCTCTTGTAGTCTTAACAATTAAATCCCTTGAAAGGCCTTTTGTAAATGGATCCACAAGATTACAACAAGAACGTATTCCTATTTATAAATGCTTTACTTTATTTTATTTTAACATTAAATTATTCTTAGATTTACGAGTTTCTAGGAAAAATATTACAATTTTAAACGTGGTTTGTGTTTCCATTTTATTTTATTAATCAAGAAAAGAAAGAAAAAAAAAACAATTTTATTTTTGTGGGTCTTTGGTTTGATGGCAGCAACAAGCCCATGTCATAGGCCTAATTGTTGAGAGCAGTCGAAGCCCAGAAAGGAAAAAGAAAATGATTAGAAGCCCTGCATAGAATTGGACCAGTGTCTCACTCGATTCCAGGTTTCCAGCATTGGGTGACTTTTCTGCGGCAAAACTTGTCCCATAACTTACATTAGTCGCTATTTTCGTTGCTCAAATTGTATCTGGGCGAGTTTTCTAGCCGGTTTTAGCCGCACCCAAGTCACGAACGTAAAAAGCCGGACATCCACATTCTCCTTCATGCAGTTTTATTTTTATTGGGGTATAAAAGAGCTTGCTAACTTTCAATCATGGGGAAGATCGATCATGACAAAAATCGAAGAGAAGAAAGAGAACGATTAGAGGAAGGATTGAGATTTTTAAAGAGAACATCCAAGGTCCGATTTTCAGATTTTTGGAAGGCAGTTTTTGGGTTTCGATCGATTTTTTTGGAGGAGAACACAAGGACTAATTTCCAGATTTGAGGAGCATATTTTGTAGACGATTTCTAAGGTTCTCCATCAATTTCTCCATTTCAATCAGTACACAAGTTTATATATTTTAGACATGAGTAGCTAATCTTTTAATTTCTAGCAATGGATAGATAATTAATTGAAATTTGGATGAGTTGAGACTCAATTTTGTTCCACAATCGATTGATTTCATTTTTACATTCTTTATACTTCAGTCTTATTCGTTTTAAGTTGAAATTTTGTGAGTTGGATCCCTTGCTTTTTTCTTATTTGAACTCGTTATGCTAGAAGAATTTTTTAATACATGATTGTTCTTGGATTTTTTTGAGTAGCAAGCGACACTCAGTTGATGAGTGTGTTAGTTGCAAGTGTTGTAAGGTTGGACAATCTAACTCAAAAAATGGGTACCGATTGTTGGTTAGGTTTGGTGTTTGCTTGATCTTAATGCAATTAGCAATTGAATTCCAAGTCCTTGACTGGACTAAATTAGCTACTTAGAGATTAGTTGTTAAAGCGTTTCATACTATTCATGCTTTTGTAGTAAAGGAGGCATGGACGCATGTTAATGTTCAAGCCAATTGAATTATATTGTGAAAATATTTATTTGAATGAGTTGATGATATGCAATCTAAAAAATTAGTTGATTGTTGCTCATTACTAGATTTCATCTTCTATTGTTTAAACTTTTAATTTAATTTTTATGCCTAAATTAATTGACAACTTCCCAACCCCCCTCCCCAACCCCACGTTTTTTATATATTTGTTGATTATCTTTCTCATTGATTTGATGATAATCCATATAACCTATTGAAGTATTATGTTTTTCTGCTATTCAGTTCCAACGATCATCACTCAGTTTGTTCAGTGATCGCTGAAACATTATTGTGATCCTATAGCGACAACGATACTTCAAGAAGACAAAACTCACACCCAAGAACCTTCAGTGAATATCGAAGACTGAAACTGAAAATTAGTGACTAGTGCATTCGTGATCTGAAGCGGTATTCAGTGATTACAACCTGGTCAACATATGTGTGAAGACTGCACAAGCCTCAATGAATGCTGAAGAAACCTCCAGCGTTATTCCAGCATTCAGTGATCAAATGAAGCTTGCCATGCACGATTGTTTTTGTCTTGTCCTTCCACACACAAAGGACAAACCCATACTCTCTTAAGAGTATTGTACTGTACAGACTCCATGAAAGGATGTCTGCTCTTGAATAGACAATAATACTATTCACTGTAGCAAAAGACAAACTTTCTTCTAAAAGCTTGACACGTGTTCTACCTCTTCTGAATTGCATTTAATGCAATGAGTATAAATAGCTGAGTGTTCTCTTCACTCACACACACAAAAAACGCTATCTTAAAAGCAAGTTATAATTTTTCTCTAAAATTCTAAGACACATACCCAAGAAGAACACATCTCTACTTTTTTTCATTCGCAAAATCTCTTATATTTGTTAAGTGTATTTGTGTGTATTTCTAGATTGTTTTAGATATGTTTTCTTTACCTTTTCTATTTCACAAACAATCTGTAAAAATCTATATTGATCATTCTTTATCAATATATATTTTTAAAAGTGAAAGTTACTGTGTTTGTATTTGTCCCTCCCCCCCCCCCCCTGATCACCTCTACACTCTTGTAGATCCGGTTGGGACCAACAATATTGTTTTTAAAGAATTTGCATGTAATTATGTCTTGGACTCACGGTTAACACCGAGTCCCTGAGGAGACGACCCTACTTATCACCAGCACTGGTTGTTGTGTTTTAGAGGTAATAGGCTTATTTTATAAAATTTAATTATTTGCCGGACTCGACACCCGTCAAAATTTTGGCGCTACTATCGGGGACCTGGAAAGGATTTAACTGTTTTATGCCAAGATAGTTTCGTGCATGTTCACCCATACGTATTAATCCGAAGATTGAGAATATCGCAAAGAAGTTTAGAAAGCAAGATAAGCTTAGAAAGAAGCAAGGCAAGTCGATTTCTTCATCGGTGCTAAATATTTGAAAAGACAGAGTTGTCTACCACTTCGAAGAGCGAGAGTAATTATGAGAAAAAGAAGCCTTATTATGAAAAAGAAGAACCTGTCACCAGGACCAATGAGGAAGAGGATATGGTAGAACCACCTCCCGAGCGCACTTTGAGGCAATGGACAACACCGAATGTCGACGAGCAACCTCTGTGCATCACATATCTGGCAGAAGAGGTAAGTGTTGAACTTAAGACTGGTTTTTATACACTTACTTCCTCGTTTTCATGGTTTAGCTAGTGAAGACCCATACAAGCATATGACCGAGTTCCACATATGCTTAGGGATGAAGACGCAAGGCACGACGGTGGAGAATCTCAAGTTCAAAGCATTCCTATCCTCCCTAGTTGATGCATCTACGGAGTGGCTTTTTTATCTATCGTCGGGTTCCATCCCCACTTGGGCAAAAAATGGCGAGAGCATTCCTAAACAAGTTCTTTCCAGCATCAAAAGTCGTCGGGCTTAGGATATAAATATGTAGGATCAAGAAGGACATGAAGTCATTATATGAGTACTTGGAGCGCTTCAAGCGCCTTTGTGTAAGTTGTTCTGAACACGGTATTTCTGATCAATTACTAATTCACTATTTTTATGAAGGATTGCTACCAATAGAGAGGAAAATGATGGATGTCGCTAGTGAAGGGGCAATAGTGAACAAGACGCAGACTCAAGCAAAGGCTTTGATAGACACCATGGCGAAAAACTCCAAGCAATTTGGAGCTTGGAGTGACATCGGTCGAGGTGCTAATGAGGTACATGTTAAATCATTAGAAATCTAAATTATTGACTTAACTATTTTGGTGAAACATCTTGTCATGAGAAATGTGCCTCAAGTCAAGGATGTGGATTTTGGTCTTCAATGGCTCACCCTAGCGACACATGCCCGACACTACATGAGGAAGATAAGAAAGTGGATAGCATAGGGTGTGCCAGCTTTCAGAATTCATACAATCGAGTTCACGATCCCTTTTCAAGCACATACAACCCCGGTTGGTGGCAGCATCCAAACCTGAGCTATGCCCCAAGGAAAGGACAAAGTCAAAGCTAATAGTTTCAACAAAAAGCTCCATTCTAGCAGCCCCAACAATTCCAAGTACCACCCGAATCTCATCTACAATATCTGCTACTATTCCAACCAAGGGCACCATTTCAGCAGAGTGCCTAGCAGCAGCATCAAGTTCCACCTCAAGCTTCTAGTAGCTTAGGTATGTCATTAGAAGATGTACTTAAGTCCATGGCTGCTAACATGCCTAAATTTCAATAGGAAACTCAGGCGAGTATTCAAGACCTTCAGGCCATTGTTGGACAAATAGCGAACAAAGGTAAGTTGTCTTCTCAAACGGAGACCAACCTGAAGGCCAATGTGAATGCCATCACTTTTAGGAGTGAAAAGGAACTTCAAGATTGTGGCAAGAAGAAGAAATTTAAGATTCATGATGAAGAGGAGGATTTAGAGGTCAAGGCATCTACTTCGAGTGAAAAAGATGTCAAAGATGAAGAGACAAAGAAGAAGACATCTGAAATGATAGTTTAAGCACCACCATTCTTGAGCCGATTCGAGAAGGCTAGGCGAGAGAGCGAAGAGAAATAGATCTTTGACACATTTCGGATAGTTCAGGTATACATCCCTCTATTAGATGTTATAACACAGGTTCCTAGATATGCTAAATTTCTTAAAGAGCTTTGCACTAATAAGAGGAAACTAAAAGGGAATGAAAAGATAAGCATGAGTCAAAACATATATGTTGTTTCAGAGAAGTGGTTACAAACAAAGTGTAATGACCCAAACATGTTCAACATACCATGTAAAGTAGGCAAAGTCTCGGTCAATCAAGCCATGTTGGACTTGGGGGCATCAAACAATGTAATGGCCTATGACATTTACTCATGCTTGGATGTAGGGCCCCTAAAGCCAACTGGTGTGGTAATCTAACTATCAGATAGGTCGACAGTATATCCTAAAGGGGTACTAGAGGATGTACTTGTTAAAGTGAATGAGTTGGTCTTTCTGCTAGAATTTTATGTTATGCATATGGAGGAGAATAATACCTCCAAGGCCGGTATGATTTTGCTA